CAAATTGTTTAACCAGTCCTGTAGATCACCTAGCACTGTGCCAAGTATTAAACAGTGCTTAGCGATTGATAGCTATCATTTTCTTATCATTAATAACTGTTCACACACAGTCTGACGGTTTCGTACGGTAAGGGGCTTCCAAAACTTTGACATCTCTCATCTCATTTGATCCTCTGAGGTAGATAGGATATGAATATTGTATCCATTTTGTAAAAATCCGGAGAAGTCAGGAGGCCTAAAATCACGTCGCAGGTTAGTGGCAAATCGGGGCCTGGATCCGGGTGCTCTAACTCACGGCCCTATGTTTTCCCTGGAGGACCTGCCCGTCAGTGACCCACGGGGCGGCTGTGTGGCCTTTTCCTCACCTCCCTGGAGCCAACAGCTCTGAGCAGTCCTGGAAACTCTGCTAGGTGCCATGGCGCTGTAAGCAGTTGCCCGGCCACTGCAAGAAGGAGCCCCAACCTTGTCCTGCATTTATTTTCTTTCCCAAACCTCACAAAACCATGAAAATCAAAGATGACTCCCAAGAAGCCAGCCACCAGACTCTGCAAACCCAGCCCAAGGCTGTGGATGGAGGGGCCACAGAGCTGTTTCTCTGCTCCTGTTGACTCAGGTCTGTTTACCTGGCTCCAGAGTTCCAGTTTCCTTGCCTCAGAACTTGTGCAGCCCTCAGATGTATGCTCTAGGCAGACGGGATTTATGGTGTGTTCATCACCCATCCCACCCCAGGACTCAGCACCTCTCCCTGCAGCTGTCAAAAACACGCAGTCATACCCAGCAGAGCGTCAAGCAGTTCACCGAGGGGAGCTCCTCGGAAATAGTGCCTAGTTCTGGCCCAAAGGCTTTGCCCAGTTGCCCAAGTTCTGGTGATAAAAATGCCAAATATAATGTGGAGTGAAAAACAGAAGTCAGACTAGCCCAGAGGGCAGGGTGGGGCAGGAGTCACAGGCTGGGGTTAGGGGACAGAGGAGGTTTGGCAGATGCCATGCTCCTGGACTTGCCCTGATGTGCCCTAGATTTGAAGGTGTGGGGAGTAGATGGCGTCCTTCTGGGGCTGTGCTGGAAGCAGAAGCACTCTGGGAATTGGACTAAATCCAGAAGCTGGCTTCCCTGAGTCCCAGGAGAGTTTATTTTTTCCCAATAACTTTGACTTTCATTTGGGGAATATTAAGTAAGAGGAGTATGGAGTCCAGGGCTAGAATGTGACTGAAGCAGCCATCTACCTCAGTCCTTAAGCTGGAAAATGTGCAGGTTAATAATACCTACATGTATTGAACGTAAGCCATTTGCCATCCATTGGACTTTGAATATATTGTTTACACATTTATTTCTAAACTTCACAGCAGCTCCGGGATCACATTTATTATTAAGCCCATTTTAAAGATACAGAAAATGAGGTTCAGGTGGTAGCAGAACTTGACAAGTTCACATAGTAGTAAGTTGCTAGTATTGGAGCCCAGATACAATATTTCTCTACGAAGCAAGTTCAGGTCACGCTCTGTCCATTGGGCCTCTCATTGCTAAGCCCATGGAAAGAGTAGTCATGGTCACCACTCCTGACATCACGAGGATTTACCCAGCTTGCTTCGCAGGACAGTAGCCATTCTCGGACTTTCCTGGTGGTGCAGTGGTTAAGAATCCACCTGCCAGTGCAGGGGACACGGGTCCAAGCCCTGGTCCGGGAAGATCCCACATGCCACAGAGCAGCTAAGCCGGTGCGCCACAACTACTGAGCCTGCACTCTAGAGCCCGTGAGCCACAACTAGTGAAGCCCACGCACCTAGAGACCGTGCTCTGCAACAAAGAGAAGCCACAGCAGTGAGAAGCCTGCACACTGCAACAAAGAGTAGCCCCCGCTCACCACAGCTAGAGAAAGCCTGCATGCAGCAATGAAGACCCAACGCAGCCAAAAATAAATAAATATATATATATATATATATATATTTTTTTTTTTTAATAGCCATTCTGTAGCACAACTGATGGTTCTGGGCCTCTCTCTGGGTGAAGGAAGTATAGAGTAATCCTCTCTCTTACCTCCTGGAGGAGAATGATGCAGAGGTTGGCAGTTTTCCATTCACCAATTTGTTCTTTTATTTCTTCTCTGCACTTTGAATCATTTTCCTTACTTTTAACATCTCTTCCAGTGACAAATTAAAGCCAAAGAGATCAACTGAAATGCTGTGATTCTATAAACTCTGTCTGGTAAGAGCTCAGCCAAAAGGGAATCAAAATAAAGATCACCCTGGCACTACCACCAGGAAGGAATCTGTTGAAAAATTCTATTTTAAAGTCATCTGAATTTTATTAATCCCTGTTCTTGCGTCCTTCATCAAATTAGACTATTGAGAGGCTTTTGAAAAATATGGAGACTGTCAATAAGGTAGATCCCTGCAGAAAACTGGACTTTAAAAAAAAAGAGTTTAAAGCCTCACAGTTTACATGGAAAATATTTTTTTTGGCTTTCATTAATTTTCTAATGTTCACTTCCTTCAACTGTAAAAAAGGAATCCAATTCAACAAGTACTCATTAAGAGATTACCACGTAAAAGATATGACATCACAGGGAAGATAACAGTAGAGAAGATATGGGCTCTGCCCTCCAGAGTATGACAGGCCTACAGGCAAGGCTGCTACCTACTTAAGTAATTGAAATACTGGCCTGACTATGGTCAGGCTGTAGCAGAAGCCCACACCAAGTTGTTGGGCCTCCAGGAATGGTAGCATCTGCCCCGATCACCCTGATCACCAGGGTCATTAGGATGTGACTGTGATATACGTGAAAGTGCTCTGTAAAGAGATGTACAGATCTAAGGAATTTTTCATCATTCTCATTACCAAGCATGGTAGTTAAGAATGTAGCCTCAGTGAACCCTCCTACGCTGTTGGTGGGAATGTAAATTGGTGCAGCCACTATGGAGAACAGTATGGAAGTTCCTTAAAAAACTAAAAATAGAGCTACCATATGATCCAGCAATCCCACTCCTGGGCATGTATATCTGGAGAAAACTCTAATTTGAAAAGTTACATGCACCCCAATGTTCATAGCAGCACTGTTTACAGTAGCCAAGACATGGAAGCAAACTAAATGTCCATTGACAGATGAATGGGTAAAGAACATGTGGTATATTTATACAGTGGAATACTACTCAGCTAGGAAAAAGAATGAAATAATGCCATTTGAAGCAACATGGTTGGACTTAGAGATTATCATACTAAGTGGAGTAAGTCAGACAAAGAATGACAAATATCACGTGATATCACTTATATGTGGAATCTTAAAATATGACACAAATGAACTTATGTACAAAACAGAAGTAGGCTCACAGACATGGAAAACAAACTTCTGGTTACCAAAGGGGAAAGGTGGGTGGAGAGATAAATTAGGAGTTTGGGATTAACAGATACAAACTACTCTAAATAAAATAGATAAACAACACAGTCCTACTGTATAGCACAGGGAACTATGTTCAATATCTCGTAATAACCTATAATGGAAAACAATCTGAAGAAGAATGTATATATACATATATATAGAGAGAGAGAGAGATTTCTGATATGTATATTCAGAAACATACATATGCTGTACACCTGAAACTAACACAGCATTGTAAATCAACGATACTTCAATATAAAAAGGATGTGGCCTCAGTAATCAAGCCTGGATTGGTCTCCCTACTTTGCCACTTATACTACATAATCTTATGTAAATTGCTTAAACACTTTAAGATTCAATTTCCTCAGCTATAAGAAGGGGATAATAATAGGACGTACCTATATGGATATTGTGGGCATTAAATGAGTGGATATATCTAAATGACTTTGCACATTGCTCAGCACAGTACAAGGCCACAGAGATGTTATTGGTGTTGCTATCATCCATGTTTACAGTACTTCTCAAAACTGTCATCAAAAACAAGGAGAGTTTGAGAAACTCTCATAATCAAGAGGAGCCTCAAGAGACATGATGAGTAAATGTAGTGTGGTTCCCTGGATGGGATCCTGGAACAGATGAAGACATTTGAGGATAATCCGAATGAAAAATGGGCTATCGTAAATAATAATGTATCAAAATTGGTTCATTAAAATTGTGACACATGTACCATAGTAATGCAGAACGTTACCAGTACAGGAGGCTGGGTCTAAGGTATATGGAAACTCTCTCAACTATCAACACAACTTGTCTGCAAATCTAAAACTATTCTAAAATAAAAGGTTATTTATTTAAAGAAAAAAGGAAAAGCATCACAAGAATGTAATCATAACAAGAGAGCTAAGGAACTACGAGGGAAAAATCAGTCAAGTTAACCTTAGCCTGCATCACAGTTTTTCAAAGAAGCAGCAACTGGCCAGGAGAATTTTCATTAGGAAACAAAAGACAAAATTCAATAGCCAATATTAACCTATGTTCTTAAAAAAGGCTGTCTTGAGCAATTTGGTTAGTAGCCAAGGCCAACTCTAGTATTACAGTGTGTTACCAGTGGTATATGATGGCCAGTAATGCTGAGAATGATGAATAAGTATTTTCCTTTAACATATGATTAAACTCTCTGTTTAAGAGGTTAGGGTCTAGTACAAGCTAAAAGTCTACCTCCAATTGGAGAGAGCTATTGAGTACCTCTTCCACTTTATTTTTCAAGAGATAATGAGACAGGGCTTCCCTGGTGGTGCAGTGGTTGAGAGTCGCCTGCCGATGAAGGGGACACGGGTTTGTGCCCCAGTCCAGGAAGATCCTACATGCCGTGGAGCGGCTGGGTCCGTGAGCCATGGCCGCTGAGCCTGTGCGTCCAGAGCCTGTGCTCTGCAACGGGAGAGGCCACAAGAGTGAGAGGCCCGCGTACCGCAAAAAAAAAAAAAAAGAGATGAGACAAGGATCAAAAACAGCCCAACACTCAACTTCCCATCCCTCCTTGGTTTTGCCCTTAGAATGGGGCTGTCAAACATGATGATTTTAACTACATTATTAACATCTGTATCATCTCTTTTCCCATATCTGCCTCCAGCTGGCACCTTGGCTGGCTCCCTGGGAAACACAACTGGGCACCTCATGGAAAAGTCAAGGAGATAACCTCAGAAGTAATTCTGCATGGAGATGCTGAACCAGGACTCAACCCCTTCTCGCTCTGGATCATCTTTGTCATTGTCAAATAAGAGATTCGTGGAGGGGTTTATATATTTCCAAATGGGATTGTAAATGCTTAAAGTTCATAGAATGTTGGATCTGGGAGGAGATTCTCAGTTCAACTCAACCTTACATCCTACGAGAAGGAAACAGAAATCCAGAAAGTCATGCAGTTATATGTAACCAAGATGGAAACTAGAACCCTATTTCCCAACTTCCAGAGGAAAACGTTTGGCTCCAAGAATAGGCTTATTCCCCTGAGCCCTGGAGCTGATAACCAGGGGAGCCTCTTCACTATGTAAAGGTCACTGAATGATGACTTGCTACTACAGACACATTCCTGCAGCACCTACAATGTTCAAGACAGAGGTAGTACAAGAGGGAAATAAACTATGAGGGATGGGCAAATCTGGGTAGGGGACAGCCATGCCACACCCAACTGAGATGTGGACTGGGCAATCTACATATAAAACTATATTCCAGGTCCTGACTTCTAAAATGTATCAGCGGCTCTAGCTGAATGGCATTCTAGCCACACAGTCATTACCCCTTGATCCTAAGTTCGGCACAGCAGTTCTTACCATTAATTCTTCTAGTGTTGTAAAGAAGTAAGGGCAGAGGTGGGTGCAGATGGCAGACAAAAGAGTGGGTCATTTGGCCTGTTTAAGCCATAGTAAGGTCTCCCATCTCAGCACTAACCTATCTGCCAGCATTACAGGTGGCATGTAGCATGAATTCATCCCCTCTTCCGAGTCACCAATTTCCCTAATCCAAGCACACCTCCTACCCAGCCCAGCTTGACTCTGTTGATCCATCAGTTGCTGTCATCACCAGGAGTCAAGGCAAGCAGGTGTTTTCAAGATTTTTTTTAACTTTGCTAACACCAAGAACTCTTTGAATATTAAAATCTCAGGCAGCAAGCGTGTCTTTCTAGTTTGGTTTGTAATAGTTTGTAAATGCATTAATAATCCGCCCAACTTTGTCTGTCATACTTTGTGTTTTTCTAAATACACAAGCACGTGTCCTGATTAAGTTCTTATGTGGATTGCGTTAAGTCTGTGAGTTTGGGTGACTGTTAAAGTGCTCTGTGGTTTTGTCCTTTTATTTCAGGAAATACTTTCCCTAGTTAACCTCTCTGTGGTGTATATTCCTGTGCACAGGAAGCTCATTCTGTGGCCAGCTTCTGTTGTTCATTTTCCTCTTGACTGCAGGAAGATGGGTTGATATCAGGTTACGAGATATGAAAGAGGGAGGCATCTACCCCCTACAAAAAGGACAAACAACACCAGCATGGTATCAGTTATCAATTTCGCAGTAGATTGTCACTGATAGTTGGTAGCCCCCCAACTATCAGGAACAACTGTCTCATCTGGAAACACATAAATACCACAGGCTATGCAGCCTCAAAAGATTGGCCAAGGCTTCAGGCCCAATTTTTTAAAACTTCTCGATTTCAATCTTTTTGCTTAATCCTCACATGTACAGATTATCAATTTAGAGCTGTTAAACCCTAAGACCCTGACAACAGATACAAGGTTATGTTCGCTGCGTCTTCTATGCTTTGCCCTGTCCCCCATAAAGTAGACATGCAAAATGGGGGTGGGGTGACATTTGATGAAATAATGAATTATTGAACGTTTATCACTAAGCAAGCTCAAAGTTTTCCAAACTCACTTCATCATTTCTGCTTCTGCCTGGCATTGGCACCTCTTGATGCTTTTCTAAAAGCTTATTGATTACGAGGGGCTAGAGAAAATACATTTTTATCAAGTCTAAGCCTCTTACATCTCTACCTTCTCATATCTTAGATCAACAATTGATAGAGGCTATAGCTTTCACCAATTTTGGCTGCACTGCTAGGGCTGATGTCAGCCTTGCTTCTTTTATATCCTTATGTTTATTGGCCAAGGGTACATAGAACATTGAATGCACACATGGACATGCTGAGTTCTCAGGCTGTTAAAGTGATAATACAAATAATAGTATAGTGAGAGGGCAAGATGCTAGAAGGGGGAACAAATCATTATTACGGGAATAATAGAATTAAAGGAATTTCTCTACTCAGGGTGCTTAAGCCCCCAGTGAGTGATGAGGAGCTTTCATAAAGTATCCTAATCATACCCCCCATGAAGCCACTAATTTACTGCAGAGTAAGTTGGGCAGGGAGATTTCTATCCAAATTGGAGCTTGGGAAGTAGAGAATCAAAATACAGTTCATAATTCACATCTTCCATTATCTCCCCCAAAACAGCCCTTCAAATAAATTGAGGTTTGGTAACAGAAGCAAGAGCATTCTACTCTCTGACTAATTTCTACTAGTAGGGCGACCAACTTTCCAGGTTTGCCCAGAACTGTCCTAGTTTCAGCACTGAAAGTCCTGCTTTCCAGAAACCCCATATCCCCACAGAAATCAGATAGGTTGGTCAGCCTAAGAGAGAGAGAGAGAGTGGGCGTGCCTTTTAGCAACACAGTCCTCACTGGCAAGAAAATATAGCAGCCTTGCAGCTGGATCCAGCCCACCCTAGTGTCTCTAGGTGGGTCAGCAGCATGTGATCCAGCAGGTCACAGAAGGTCATGAGCATAGGGACCTGTGTGTGGGGATGGGGAGAGGGGCACAGCACCTGTCTTTTCTAGAACTCCATGTATTTGGTGTAGCCTCACATTTAGACTCATGAGGGAGAAAGGGGCGGGATAACTTTCCCTCTTCATCCATTGTATGGATGGGGAAATGGCAAGAGGGAGACAGTGCAGCCTGCTTGAGATTTCACAGGTAGTAGCAGGGCCCACGTGTGAAACACAGTTCTGATTCCTAAATTGTGATGTGGCGTGGACTTTTAATGCCTACAAAAATCCTACCTGGCCTGATTGAAGGAATGAAATGAGGAGGGCACAGTGTACTTGCACAGAGGTTAAGCAGAGGTTTTCCACTTCTGGAATTCACTTGCAGAAGAAGGTGCTGGCTTCCTACACTCAGGGCCCAGCAAAAACCTCTGTACACAGTGCCTAAGGTGGCAGCCCTAATGGTCCTTGGCGGGGAGGGAACCAGAGTGTATGTAACTCTAGGGATGGGAGAGGGATTCCATATGAAAGCAGACTCTCTAAATGAGGAAATTAAACATTTTTTTAGGAGCTTCCTGTGTATAGAGCCACAGAAACTTGTACTGAGCTGAACTGAAAGAATTCGACAGAGCGTTCCCTTGAGGAGTTTTGAGTCAGATGTTGGGAGAATCAAGGAATAAACATGGAAAGGATTTGAGAACAATGGAAGTAATGTAGGTTGACCTCGAGGGTTGTGATGGCAAATAAAATAGGACAAAAATAACATTGAATTTACCTCAAATGTAGGTTGCCTGGTTTCTTGGCCTTCCAGGGAACTCAGTCCAAACTGGGAAGTGCTGTGGGTTCCTCTGAATATTCATGGCTCGGCCAGATCCTTCCCGTTTCAAGCTACTTTTCCCAAGGGTTATTTGAAACTAAGAGGAAGCTGGGATTCTCAGGTATCCTGCCCCTGCCACAGAAGAGAACTTTTTCTGAGAGGAGAACCTGTTTATCACTCCTTCCCCACACAGGCAAATTGAAACACCATCATTTTACTTCACACAGGACTCTTAGGCATGCACCTACCTCGTTTGCTCAGCAATCATTGTGTGTGCATTTCCTTTGTCAGGTTCTATGCTGTGTGAGGGACATAGAGATGAAAGGACCAAATTCCTGCTTTTCATGAAGTTTACCATCAAATTCTCTGCCCAGGGTCCAGGGTTTCCCTGGTTCAGAATCATAAGACCTCAAAACTTACTAAGCTGGAGAGTAAAGAGAGGGAAGTGTCAGGAGAGGGGAGAGGATGTCCAAGGTAGCAAAGGCTACTGTCAGCTCTAGACCTTCTCTTGCCCTCCATCCCACCAAGGGTTTCCAAGCTACTGCAAAGCTCAGCCTTGTTACTAATATGAACATGTGGACATCCCTATAGGGACAAAGGTTCAGTTGTAATATCAGGGACATGTGATATTATGATATATAATAAGAAATATATATTTGGTCTTTGCCCCTGGGTCTTGTATGAAACTTCGAAAACCCTTGTAATTTCCTGAGTGAAGAGGGTGAAAGAAACATCTTTTGTCATTCATAATAAGCCCCTTTCACACATATTTGAATTTATGCTAATAAGATGACTTTTGAAACATCCCTAGATAGCATCAGGATGGGAGTGGAGCACTGGTTGCCAAAGGAGACAGCAGTGTGATTGGAGGGTTGGAATTTCAGCCCCACTCCCCCAACCGTCAACCTCTAGGGAGGAGAGAGGGACTGGATATTGAATTAATCACCAAAGGCCAATGATTTAATCATGTGTATGTAATAGAACCTCCATAAAAACCCTAAATGAAAGGGTTCAGAGAGCTTCCAGGTTGGTGAATGCATCTCATGCCAGGAGGGCGACATACCCCAAACTCCACAGGGACAGAAAGCTGCTGTGCTCAGTACCCTTCCAGACCTTGTCCTGTATACCGCTATTCATTTGCACCTTTATAATATTCTTTATAATAAACTGGTAACAGTGTCGACTGAAAAAACAAAAAAAGCACAACCTAGAAGTTGACAATCATGTTTTATTCGGCAGAGTTCCTGAGGACTTAAGCCGGGATGCAGCCTCTCAGCCAGCTCTGAGGGACGGGTCCCCAGAGGTGAGGGAGGAGCCAGGATATAGAGGCGTTCTTCCAAAAAAAACCAGGTAGCGGAACATCAGAAGATTACTGCTAATTATAAAACAAAACAACCCAGACATCTCAAGTTAATGAATTTAGCACTTTTCTGTGTATGGGAAGATGCAAGAATCCGGGCTTATTGAAATTATCCGTTTGTTAGGCACCTTAACTATCTAGGGCCCGCATCCTGTTTTTTCTCCATCCCGAATCCCCTCAGGGCGCACCAGTGGGGGGCAGCCATGGTGGCTGATGGCTTGATGACTGCAACACCCTTTGTTTACTGAAATGGCAGGTGACATTCTTTGTCCACATAAGTCAGTGGGATCCTATGAGCCATAATAGCAAATGACCAAAACCGAGGAGGAGGGGGCTGTGGGAACCCCCAGTTCGGGTCAGTTGGACAGAAGTGTGGTAACCTGGGAACCTATTCCTTACAATTGGCGTCTGAATTGGGGGGCAGTCTTGAGGGACTGAGCCCTTAACCTGTGGGGTCTGCACTGAGTCCATGTAGTTAGTATCAAAAGTGAATTAAATTGTAGGACACCCAGCTGATGTCTGAAGAGAATTGCTTGGTATGAAAACCCACACATTTGGTGTCAGAAGTGTTATGAGCAGGGCCAGACTTCCATCCATGACTCTGTCATTTGCTTCCCCAAGAAAGATGTTTCAATAGATATTGCAACCCAGTTCAATTAGTGAGGTCTGAGTTGCGATGCCACCTTCCAGCACAGGTAAGCGCTCTGTACTTGGTGACATTTATAATGATGATGATAGTTACCACCTTCGTAACGTCAACTGAGAAATAAGACCAGAGTCGTAAGGCAACAAAAGCATTTATTTGTTTTAGGAACTGCAATTTGGGAGACACAGATTTGAATAGAAACCCAGATGTGCTCCAAGGAGGGTTGAAAACCAAAGCGTTTTAAAGGGAAAGGAGGAAGCTTACATAAGTTGTTTTGCAAAAATTATGATTGGTGCTGGTAGACTGGAGCCATTCTTGTCTATATGTGATTGGTTGCTAGGGCTGTTACTATGTGAGAATTCACTGTGTAAACGTTCTTTAAGGATGTGATGGCCCAGGTCAAAGTTCACATTCCATTAGATGGAGACGTGCATAGGCCCTACTTCCCCCGTGGTCTCCTGGCTCCATTTTAGTGCTCTGTTGGCATGACAGACTCCATTTCATTCATTCCTTCACAGTAACAAAGCTAAATGCAACGCCTATATACTGAAAATATCTAACCTGCTCTAGCCCGATAAGCTCTGGCAAATCTATCACCACTCACCCCTGAAGACCACAGGGAAAGGAATCCCCACTTCACACCTCAGACTCCAGGCCTCCCTGTCAAGCTGTAGGTGAGCTCAGTGATGCCTGCTTGCCTGTGACCC